CCACTTCCTTCTGGCTTCCATGCTGTCGGGCACAAAACCTACCATCACTTCAATCAGTGTTCCTTCATATGCAATGGGCTGTTTCTCTGGCTGTTTTTCAAGTTTCTTTTTTCTTTCTTGTCTTTAGTTTCCAGAAGTTTGCATGTGTCTCACTGTGATTGCTTATCGTGCTCGGGGTTCCCTCGGCTTCTTGGACCATTATTTCTTCAGGTACCTTTTTCAGTGCATACTTTTTTCCTACTTCTGGTATCCAGTGGTGTCAATGTTAGAGTCTTCCTTTTTTTTTTAAAGATTTATTTATTTATTTGAGAAAGAGAGGGAGAGAGAGCTCACTTGCAATTGGGGAGAGGGGCAGAGGGAGAGGGAGGGGTGGAATCCTCAAGCTGACTCCCTGCTGAGCACCAAGAGACCACAAGTCAAGGAATATGGGCTGACTCCCGAAACTGGAGAAGGCAAGAAAATTGATCCAACCCCAGAACCTCCAGAAAGGAATGTGGTCCCGCCAATAACTTTATTATAGCCCAGTAAAGCCCATGGTGGACTTCGGACCTCCGGAACTGTAAGAGAATAAGTATCTGTTGCTTAAAGCCACCGTCTTCATGGTAATTTGTTACAGCAGTAACAGGAAGCTAATAGAGACTGCATATTGGATAATATTGCTGTGTGAAGATCAAATGGGGGGAGCCTGGTAATCGTAGGGTGGATATATAGGAGAAAATCCTTGTTCTGGTGAGATACAGGTGGAAGTAGTATGATACCTATAACTTTCAATTGGTTTATTAAAAAATCATACGTAGGGCGCCTCGGTGGTTCAGTCATTTAAGCATTTGCCTTCAGCCCAGGTCATGATCCCAGGATCCTGGGTTCGAGTCCTGCATCAGGCTCTTTGCTCAACAGGGAGTCTGCTTCTCCCTCTGCCTTTGTGCCTCCCCCCAATTCATGTGCTCTCTTAAATAAATAAAATCTTTTTTTAAAGATTTTATTTATTTATTTGACAGGGAGAGAGAGAGGGAGAGATCACAAGTAGGCAGAGAGGCAGGCAGAGAGAGGAGGAAGCAGGCTTCACTGCTGAGCAGAGAGCCCGATGTGGGGCTCGATCCCAGGACCCTGAGATCGTGACCTGAGCTGAAGGCAGAGGCTTAACCCACTGAGCCTCCCAGGTGCCCCTAAATAAAATCTTTTAAAAAATCATATATATATAATGAAAATGATTTGTGTGCATACACATGCATACATTTAGCTCTATACAGATAGAATACAAAAGGGCATGGTAAATAGGCATGAGAGGTATCTGGGAGTCCCCTCTCATAGTCTTGCATGTTTTCTCTAAGTTTGATTTTTTTAACTGGGGGGTGGGGCCTTACATTTTTGAAGTACACACAAAAGTGTTTACAAACAATAATATATGATTTGTAACATATAATCCAGTGGGTGGAGGAGTAGAAGGGAGGTAGACACAACAAGGTTCATCATGAGTTGATACTTTGGAGCTGGAGATGGGTGCCTGGAATTTCCTGATACCATTCTCACTAGTATAGTGAGCTACAGTCCACTTGTATATGTTTGTATACAAACTCTCTTTGTATTTCTTTGAAATTTTCCATATGAAAAGATTTTAAAGAAAGAGAGAAAAAAATTCCAATCGAAAAGTTTTATCAGAGTTCCACAGAACTTTCAATTCAGATCATCTCAAAATCATAGAAATTCATCCATGGAATAGAGAGGGAATATCCCCCTAACTTATTCCAAGGCTAGTAGAACCTTTAAACTGAAATGGGAACAACAACAGAAGTACAGAAAAAGTAAATTACCAGGCCAATCATACTCATAAATAAAGATGCAAAATTGCTAAACAAGATACTCTCAAACCAAATCCAATAGTATATAGAATAAAAACAGTACACCATGACTAACTTATGTTTGTCCCAGGAAAGCAAAGGCCATTGAACATTAGAAATTTATAAATGGGGGGCACCTGGGTGCCTCAGTCAGGTAAGTGTCTGACTTTTGATTGTGGCTCAGGTCATGATCCCAGGGTCCTGGGATCGAGCCCCACATCAGGCTCTCCTTCTCCCTCCACTCCCCCTGTTTGTGTAATCTCTCTCACTCTCATATAAATAAAAAAATCTTTTAAAAAATTATAAATGGGGGGCACCTGGGTGGCTGTTAGCTAAGTGGCAGGCTCTTAATTTCGGTTGGGATCATGATCTCAGGATCCTGGGATTGAGCCCTGCATTAGGCTCCCCTCTCAGCAGGGAGTCTGTTTGTCTCTCTCTCCCTCTGCCCCTCTCCACATCCTGCTTCCTCTCTCTCCCTCTCTCTAACAAATAAAATCTTTTAAAAATTAAAAATAAAAACCACCTAGATGATACCCAATTCTAATTCATAAGTCCTTTCATTTTTTTTAAGATTTTATTTATTTGACAGAAAGTGAGTGAACACAAGTAGGGGGAGCAGCAGGCAGAGGGAAAGGGAAAGGCCCGATACAGGGCTCGATCCCAGGACCCCGGGATTATGACTTGAGCCGAGGGCAGACACTTAACCGACTGAGCCACCCAGACGCCCCAGGCCTTTCATTTTAATGGGGAGGAAATTGAGGCCCAGAAAAGGGGAGAGATTTGGCCAGGATCTCTTGAGACAGGGGATGAATGGGCTAGAGCTCAGGTCACCACAGGAAGGGGAAAAATGAAATATTTGGGGGAGGGGTGCCTGGCTGGCTCTGTTGGAGGAACATGCGATTCTTGTTCTCAGGGTCATGAGTTCACACCCCACACTAGGTGTAGAGATTACTTAAAAAAAAAAAAGAAACTTTAGGGGCACCTGAGTGGCTCAGTGGGTTAAAGCCTCTGCCTTTGGCTCAGGTCATGATCCCAGGGTCCTGGGATTGAGCCCCACATCGGGCTCTCTGCTCAGCAGGGAGCCTGCCTCCACCCTCTCTCTCTGCCTGCCTCTCTGCCTACTTGTTATTTCTGTCAGTCAAATAAATACAATTTTTTTAAATCTTAAAAAAAAAAAACTTTAAAATAATTTTGGGGGTCCTCCTGGCTTCTGGGCATGACTGTCACTTTGCCAGTGATCCTCCTCCCCAACCCCTGCTCACTTCACCATGCACACTGCCCACTGCCTGCCCCTCCCCCCCTTCCAGAGTCTGTTTGGCTCCCCTCACACCTTCCACACCCCCACAACCCTCATGGACCACAGGACAAGACAGAAAGGCAACTCTGTGACTTTACTGGGTAACGGGAAGGGGTTTGTGCAGTCCAGCTATATTGTCAGTCCCTGCAGGCCAGCAGAAATCCTGAAAGGAGGCTCCAAGCAGGATTCCAACTGGAGGGCTCTGCGCCAGCAATCTGAGCCTTCTGTAAGATGTTGAGGACCTCGGTCACTCTGATGTTCCCAATATGGTGATAATTTTCTAAAAGTTTGTGGTGTCCACGAGCACAGCCCAAGAGGAGAAAAGTGGTATTAAGTAAGCCTGTAAGGCAGACAGAGACGAATCAGGGACACTTCCAAGATGCAAGGGCCCTGCCCCTGCTTCCAGACGCCCCTCCCAACCCAGGACACAGGTTCTCTCACCAGAAACTTGGGTAACAGCCACCTTAGTCCTTCTGCCTTGGAATTCATGTGCCTGGCCCGGGCAGCCCCAATCCCCTCTTGGAGCCCACCAGACTCTTGCAGAGTGGGAAGGCACTAAAGCAAGTTTCTCTTCTCACCTGCCTGAAATTTTAAGGTGGAACTGTAACACTGAGAGGCGTCGTAGGGGCAGGAATCAGTGGTGACAAAATTTGGGAGGCAATCCTTGGAGTGCTCGCCCACACAGGTCGGGCAACTATGGGGAGAAAATGCTGTAGACTTAGGAGTTCTGGCCTTGAGTTTCACAAAAGGATCCAAGCTGGTGAGGTTATTGCAGAGATATGTCCTGCAGACGCGGCTGTAGGAGGCAATGGACAATCCAGGTGGCGAAACAAGGTAGGAGACTTGCTGGGGATAAGATGAGGCTGGGCTGCAGCCCTTAAAACCCACAACTCCCCTTCTGGTCCCTGAGGAAAAGATTAAAGAGCTCCGATCAGTGCTGTTGGCCACACCCAGAGCCAACCCTCCCACCCTGCACCCATCCACCCACCCTCCAGCTCGCTCTGCCCCATCACCAACTTTGCCATGAGGTCCACTCACGGCAGCTGCACAGGGCTCGGATCCCGGGTCTGGGGTCTCTGTCTGTCTCTCCTCACCAACTCCTCCCCACAGGAATCCCCCTGTTCCTCTCTCCCCTGTGTCCCTTTCTTTTATTCTCTCCCAGATCGCCCCCTATCCACCTGGGATCACCTCCTTTCTGCCTTCCTATCCAGCCCACACCACACCCAGCCAGGTCCTGCCCTCTCCTGCCAGTGTCTTGACATTATTTCCAAAGATAAAATGGAGTAACTGTTTGGAGCTCGAGTCCAGAGTCCTTGGGTGCTGGGAATGGAGCTGGGGGTCAGAAGAGCCACCAAAAAAAAAAAAAAAGTAATGTATCAAAGTCACTTTCCTTCGCCTGTCTCGATGAACACCAGCGTCTCCTCACAACCCTCACTCAGCTTACACACCATGCTCCTCATCAGAAGCCACTTCCAGTCATGAAGAGAAACAGCTCTGAAGAGTGAGGACGTTGCTTCGTAGCATAAAAGAGCCGCGGCCCCTAAAGGGAGAATGCCCTTCCAGTCACGGGCCCCTCACATTGCCTTCTCAGCCCCCCAGTTGCCAGCCAAGAACTTGGCCTCCACAGATCCTGAACCCTGAGGAACCCAGATACCCAGCCCTCCTTCCTCTAGTTATGTGAATCCAGCCTCCCACCCTCTGGGGTCCCAAAGCGTCCAGCCCCACAGGACATACGAGGCACAGTGGAGATGGCCCCTAGGAGGCAGAAGAGATGCACAGGGCTGAAGTGCTGGGGTCCCATGGTCCTGGGTTGGGGTCCTGGATGCTAGAGGTCAATCCAGAACCAAGATCAATCCAGGTATCAAGCTCTGTTCTTGTCAGTCTCTGAATTCTCTGTTCACCTGCCTCTGGGTCACTGTTCTAGAGCAGAAAGTTGATTGTCAGGTTTTGTGACATAGGCTACCTGTGACCTTCAGGGACACAAGACTTCCTATCTCCATAGTGTCCCCTCCAGCCTGCCCTGAACCCACCACATTAGCTTTTCATCATGACCCTCACACTCCTGCTTAGGTCCTCCCATTGGACATGGTGCTGAGCAGAGCTGATTCCCTCAAAGGATCAGTGTCACACAGGCTGTTCTCCAGCCAGAGACAACGAGATCAGAATAACAAGGGGGTGTGTAGGGAAGTTAACTGAAATATTACTAAATAACTCTTGGTTCAGAAAAGGATATTGAAAAGTATTTAGAAGTGAATAATAATGAACATAGCACATTTCTCTCTGTGTGTGTCTCTCTCTCACACACACACAAAACACAAACTGCATGTAAAATCTAGTGAAAACTAATTAAAGTCTATATTCTAGTTAAGAGTTTTATGCCAATGTCAAGTTCATGCTTGTATACTGCAGTTGTAGAAGATATCCCTGAGGGGAAGTGGAAGGAAGTATTTATGGCTTTACGACTTTTGCAACTTTTTGTGAGTCAATAACCATTTCAAAACCAAGTTTTTTTTAACTACAAGTCAAAATGTGGGACACAACTAAAGCAGTGTTTACAAGTAAATTTATGCTTTCAATACATTTGTCAGGAAACGGGAGCGTTAAAAAACGTGGTCACAGATTAACTCAAGAAGTTGTACAAGGTGCAACAAAACACCTGCTCCCCGCCAGCAAAGGACAGAAATTAAGATAATGACAGAAATCAATGAATTAGAGCAACAAAAGTTATTACAGAAAACTTAACATTCATTCTTTGACAAAATCAATGAGATAATTCTCCAGCAAATCTAATCAAGAGAAAAAGAGAAGATGCAAATAAAATACCAAATTAAAAATCAGAAGTAACAGACAGTGGCTGTTAAAAAAAAAAGTATACTTAAGAACTCTACATTTATAAATTTGAAAACCCGAATGAAGTAGGGGAGACTGACTGGCTCAGTTAGTACAATCACGCAACTCCTGGGGTTGTGGTTTTGAGTCCCACGTTGCGTATAGAGATGATGTAAAAAAATAAAATCTTGGGGCACCTGGGTGGCTCAGTGGGTTAAGCCTCTGCCTTCGGCTCAAGTCATGATCTCAGGGTCCTGGGATTGAGCCCTGCATCGGGCTCTCTGCTCAGCAGGGAGGCTGCTTCCCACTCTCTCTCTCTGCCTGCCTCTCTGTCTACTTGTGATCTTTGTCTGTCAAATAAATAAAATATTTTAAAAAATAAAATAAAATCTTTAGAAAACCTGGATGAAGTGGATACATTTCTAAAATAATGTGAAATGCCAAGATTGGCATAAGAAGAGTATATGTAATGCCTTAAAGCAATTAGAATGCCCAAGGACCTCTGGAAAACTGACAAGAAAAAGAGAGTAACCCCAGTAGGAAAGTGGGCCAAGCATATGAAGAGGCAATTCTCAGAAGAGCAAATCAGAAAGGCTAAAAAACATGTGGAGAGACACTCAGGCTTAACAATAATCAGAGAAAGGCAGTCTATCAAACTGTCCATCTCTCAGACTAGCAATGGACCAGACAGCTGGAAAAAGATATGTGTTGGCAACAATGTGGGGATACAGATACAGGGACCCTTGTGTCCTGCTGCTCATGGGGTTGTTGGGAGGAGCACAGGACCCTCTTCCGGACCCCGAGGAACAGTTAAAAGTTCTGATCGATGTTTCAGGCCCAAAGCAGCATTGCAGGGAGGAATCTGGCAAGACCAAGTCAAATCAGGTTTATAAATTCCCATTTCTAGTATGTCCTAGGTACACATAATAGAGATTTCCACCTTCATCTACAAAGCAACATATACCAGGATGCAGCATTATTATGGAGATGGTGAGTTGGAAGGCAATGTGGGCATTCCTGGCTGAGACTCCGTGAACACACAACATTCAGGGGACACACACTACAGAATATCATGCAATTAAAAAATACTGATTAGAGATACGCATAACATGTACATGGCTGGATCAGAAAAATACAGTGCTGATTATTTTAAATAAAAACACTATATTACTTGCATAAGTTAAAACCACAGGCACAGGGTTGCCTGGGTGGCTCAGTCAGTGAAGCATCTGGTTCTTGATTTCAGCTCAGGTTCCAATCTCAGGGTCATGAGACCAAGCCCCACCTCAAGCTCTGTGTATAGTGTGCATCTGCTTAAGACTCTCTCTCCTGCTTCCTCTGCACCTCCCCCTCTCTTTCTCTAAGTAAATAAAATCTTTTTTTTATTTTTTTTAAAGATTTTATTTATTTATTTGACAGACAGAGATCACAAATAGGCAGAGAGGCAGGCAGAGAGAGAGGAAGAAGCAGGCTCCCTGCTGAGCAGAGAGCCCGATGCGGGGCTCGATCCCAGGACCCTGGGATCATGACCTGAGCCAAAAGCAGAGGCTTTAACTCACTGAGCCACTCAGGCGCCCCTAAAATATTTTTTTTAAGTAATAAAATAAAACTATATGTGCAGGGGTGTCTGGCTGACTCAGTAGGAAGAGCATGTGACTCTTGATCTCAGGGTCATGCGTTTGAGTCCTATGCTGGGTGTACTTAAATAAATGAATAAGTAATAAACAAACTTTTTTAAAAACACGTGCACACAAGACACCGCACATCTTACAAGAACACAAGAACCAAAAGATAGGTATTAGCCACTAGAAGTGAGAGCCTACAGGAGGGTTAGGGAATACAAGTGGAGAATGAAGATTACTAGAAATACTAAAACAATGTAGGTCGTACAAAAGTTCACAGGCTTTGGACTCAAAGGTGGAGCAAGGTTAGAATCTTTACCCCTCCACTTACTGGATGTGCAATCTTGTGTAAGTTGTTGAACTCATTTATAAAATGGACTAATAATACATCTCATGAGAATGCTGTTGAAAATTAGTAAGCTTATTAATATAAAGTATCAGGCAAGTGCTAAACTCTCCATAAATGTTGGCTCTCCAGTCCCTCTCCGTCTTTCCACTATCTAAAGGATCAAGGTCAACCTCTTTAGTAAGCAGTCAAGCCTCCCACACCCACATCCCCCACTGCTAGATTGGCCCCAAACAACCTGTCCAACTTTGTCTAGTACTGCTCGCCTGCACAGCAGTCCAGGTAGAGGTCACTTCTGCCACCCTTTTCTGTCCAGAATGCCTGGTACACGGGCTCTGTAATTCAGGAGTCTGTAGCAAACAAAGGCGCTGAGACCCGCAGAAAAGATGGAACACAGGACAGTGAAATGAAGGCTGACAAAGGATCACACAAAGGGATTGGGCCAATCAGAGAAGATGGCGCACACCGGCCTGGAATGCAAAACGACAGGATCCAGAAGTCTGAGCACAAATGGAGACTCAAACAGAAAAGAGCGGAATGAAATTCTCAGGGGGAAAGAACGAAGAAGAGGTGGTCAGAGGGGATGCTACGCCTGCAAAAGAGAAACCGTGCAGAGGAGGAGGAGCAAACTGATGGCCTAGAACCTTGCAGGGAGTCAGAGGACCAGCAGCCAGAACACAATAGGAAAGGCAGGAAAATGAGGCCTGGGACACAAAGACGTGGCACTCAGGGGGAAAAGGAGACCGAGGCGGGAGGCACAGAGAAAGGGGGACAACAGGAGCGGGTGGGAGGGAAACCGTGAGACACACGGAGAAGGCAGCTGAGGATGACAGAGTGGAGTCCAGATGTAACTGATGAGTTGAGGTGAAACCGGGGAGGGAGATGAATGCAGAGAGGGGAAAGGGACGAAGGGACAGAAATACTACAGCCGCGTCTCGGAAAGAGAGTGAAGGGGTGCGGGGGGTGGACAGGGCCAGGCTATTCGGAAAATAGGATCGTGGAGGAAGGGGGTCCGAAAATCAGCAGGATGGACAGAAGGACAGGAACTCTCAAGAGAACGGGAAAACCGAAGTTAGGAAAATCAGCACCTAAACGGACAGGAAGAGAGGCATGGAAAGGGACGCAACCCGAGGTGGGATGAGGGAAGGAAACGGGCAAATCAAAGGAGAGGAAACGCATAAAAGGAGAAGGGCAGATCTGGAGTTGGGAGAGAAGTGAGAGAAAAACGAGCGTCCACACAGCGAAGAACCGCCGGAGCGAAGTCGAAGCCCGGAGCGCAAGAGCAAAACCGCGCGGTGCAGGCTACAGGACGAGACTGCGCGTGCGCAGCCAGGTCCAGGTCAACGCCTTGGGGGTCGGACCCGGCAGCCGGTTCTGGGGGGGGGGAGGGGGGCAGGGCCAGTCTTAGCCTAGGAGCTGTACTCGACGCCCCATTGGCCACCTCTCCCAAAGGGGAGCAACAATCTGCGAAGGCAAGCCACAGGGGGAGGGGCAAGTGGGGGGAGGGATAAGACTCAACTCGACGCGCTATTGGCTGACCTGACAGTCTGGCGCGAGCCGAAGCAGGCTGGAGGTAAGGGGAGGGCCCGTCAGTGAGGATCTTGAAGCGCATTGGTCGCTTGCCTTGACGGCGGGACATGACGCTTGAAGCTCATTGGTCCTTGTGAGAAGGGGCGGGAAAACAGGCTCGAGCGCGGCCGTTCCTCACGCCACTTCCTCACAGCGTCCTGTCGCGTCCTCCTGACTGTGTCTGACTTTGCTCGCTCGAGGCTGTGGTAACCGCGGGCGGAGGACGCGAACACGACCCCGCCCCTCCCTGTCCCTTCTACCCCTCTCTGTGGCGCTGGACCCCCTCCCCCGCCTACCCCTCGCGCTCCTTGCGTCCCTCTCCTCCCCTCCCCCACGCCGCGGGCCCCCGGGCGCGCTCCTGGACCCTGGGGCGAGGCGAGGCCGCAGGCCTGGCAGCTGAAAGGGGGTGCACGCGAGTAACAGCCGCGCGAGGCGGTGGTGCGCCGCGGGGAGGTGGGCCGGACGATGCATGAGATCGGTTGCTGGGAATGGGTAAAGACCCCCGAAGCGCTGGGCGCAGCGACCACCGGGTTTACGTCAGAGTTTGGAGGGCATGTGGGTGCAGGACGGGAATCCGTGCCGTGAGGAGGGGGCCTGGCATCTGGAAGGGGCTCAGTAAACGTTTGTCGAGTGAATGAAAATAATTCTTGAAAGGGGGGCGAGGAATTCGTGAGAATAAAGTAATTGCGGCGGTGGGGGGCAGGGAGGCGGCAAGAGAGCGTTCTGATTTAAAAGGGGAGCAAGGGGAACGTTGACTTGCAGGAGGTACATGACGCTGAGAATTGAAGGGGCATGAACGTAGTTGTCGGAACTGGATCAGTGCAGGGGGGAGGGATGGTAGTCGCCGAAGACGACGGCAGGAAGAACTCTCAGAACAGGGCGTTGGGGGAAAGGGGGTTCAGAACCCCGGGGGGGGCGTGAATGCAGGGGTATGAGCGTGGGGCTTGTGCAGGAGGAAGCACAGGCCAGCAGCTGAGACGGGAAGGGGGAGAGGGGCGCCGGGGAAGAAGGCGAGCCTTCTGGGAAGGAGGAAGTCCGAGGAAGGCAGTGGGGTGAAGGGGGGAGAAAGCAGGCGGGTTGGGGGGATGTGAGGAGTGAGGGTGAAATCTGAGTCCGCAGATGGGTGCTGTGGAAACCCCTTCAGGTGTGACCTCCCAGGGGCAGGAGGGCTGGTCAGGAGAGGGCACACGTGGCCGCCCTGACCTCCCACTCCTGCCCCCAGATCCATGGAAGCCAAAGAAATGCCCACTGTTGTCCACCACTGTGCCTCAGACACTGCCCCAGGGGGTGAGACCAGAGCCCCCCCAGGCACGGAGCTTATCCCCAGGAGAGCTGTCAGTCGCTCTCCCACCTGTGCCCGCTGCCGAAACCACGGCGTCACTGCCCACTTGAAGGGCCACAAGCGCCTGTGCCTCTTTCAGGCTTGCGAGTGTCATAAATGTGTCCTCATCTTGTGAGTATGAATGAGATCCAGGGAAGGGAGGAGGAAGGGCCTCATCTAAAGTGAGGCTGACTTTTGACCTGCAACCCCTGTTTTAGGGAGCGCCGGAGGGTCATGGCTGCCCAGGTGGCCTTGCGTAGGCAACAGGAAGCACAGCTAAAGAGGCATCTGGCTCAGGGACTGATGAGGAGAGGTGCAGCTCCTCCCAAAGCTCCCAGCCATGTCAAGAAGGGAGCCACTCGACCTGGGGTCCCCGGTGAGTGGCCAGGGATGGGTCCGGGTTTGGGGTGGAGAAAGCATAAGTAGGAAAAAGAGTCCCAGACCCTCCATTGGAATTGGTATGTGACCTCAGGCAAAGTGTTTCTACTCTCTGGGCGGCCTCAGTCTCTCCAACTTTAAAATGTAGTCAAGTGTTGGGAGGATGTAGTGAGATCCCTGGGTAGAAAAAGGCCAGAGGGAAGTAAGAACTCAGTTTGCAGTTGGAGTGGGGTGGAGGTCAGGAGAAAGGGTCATCAGAGCTCTCCCTGCTCCCTCACAGCTGAAAAGGAAAACATAGCACCCCAGCCTCAGACGCCCCATGGGGCAGTCCCACTGGCACTGACACCCCCTGGGAAGGTAAGGAGAACCTGGGCCCTGGAGGAGCGACTCCTATACTAGCCCTTGCCCAGACCCCCTCCTTCTGTGCCCTCAACACTTGGGTTCTAGAGCTAGCCCTGATTTGCAGTATCCTCCTGTGCAAATCACTTCTCTTCTATGGGTAAAAAGTGAGAGGGTGGTATTTTCAGCCCTCCCAAGTCTAAAGTTTTGAGGTCCTGACCCCACCCTAGAACGTACTCATTCTTTCCCCAGCCTCCTATCTGACTCCAGCTTGTGTTCTCTGCCCTTGCAGGATAACTCCCAAGGGCCTCTGCTGCTCAGTCGTCCCCCAGAAGCCTTGCCTTTGTCCTGGACTCCAATGCCTCCAGGCCCTTGGGCTCCTGGACACTGGCTGCCTCCAGGACTTTCCATGCCACCTCCAGTAGTATGCCGCTTGCTATGCCAAGAACCTACTGTCCCTCTGCATCCCTTTCCTGGTAAGATTAATTCAACATTCATTCAGCAAATATCTGAATACCATTGTACTGCTGTACCAGAAAGAGAAGAGGAACAAGATGCAGAGTAGGAAGGAAGATGGAAGTCATGACCTTTAACCCCTGTACACTCCTGCATTCTCTTACCCTCATTAGGCTTTGACCCTGGCACTTCCCTCCGGCTGCCCACTCATGGGCCCCTCCCAACCTGCCCAGGATCTCGCCCGATACTGACGACTCCCCTTTCTGGAGAATCCCAAGGGCCCACTGCCCTGCCCCGCGCGTGAGTAGGGAGGGAAGGATATTTGTCTATAATGTGCCTAATACTGTCCTGGGGACCACAGTAGATGACCTAGAATACAAGGTCTCAGACTAATGTGTGAGGACGGGCACTCCTTCCTCTGCCATTGCCTGACTGAGAACTTTTGTACGAGTATCTTTACCTCTCTGAAGCTGGTTTTCTGTCAGTAAGTTGGAGACACAATTACCTTCTTTTTGCTTTGTCATGAGAATTGGTGATAATGTACGGAATACACCCTAGCAGAGGCTCTGGACTTTAATAGCAGTAGCTATTAAATCCTCTTAAACAGATAAAATGGAATCAAACTGCCTGCTGAAAGGGTGGGGTGGGGTGGGGTGCGATGGTGAGAGCCTCAGAGGCCTACAGTAGAGGTCAGAGGCCATTAGAGAAAGTTTCTTAAAGGTGCTCCTCAAGTTCCATGGGGATTGGGGAACTAGAGGAAGGCAACTAGACTTTGGTAGGGCAGGAACAGCCATCCCTGTCCCTCTCGCTGTTCATATGCTTTTTAAAAATTGACACCATTGCCACAGTAGTTCTGGAGGAAAGAAGCTGGCAGGGATTTTCATTTTATAGCAAACAAAACAAGCCAAGACAGGGAAAGGGACTTCCCCAAGTCCACAAAGCCTAATGGCCTAGCAGGTACCCAGACTTCCATGAGTACATGTCCATCCATGTGTTTAACCCCCTTGTTATCTTCTTGCTTCTAGATGCTCGACTCTGATACTCCAGCCCTGTGGCACCCCAGACCCTCTTCTGCTGCAGCCACAGGTCCTGGGAAAGAAGTGGGATCCAGGACCCTGGGAGGAAATTGAACCTGGGGAAAGGAAGATAAGGGATAGTGAAGTAACCAGGGGCTGAGAGAGTACTTGGAGAGTGGGCAGAGTGGGGGTTCCCACTCTGTTTCTTTTCTTTTCTTTTGCAGGCCCCTGGAGCTTCTCGCCTGGCCTGGACTTCTGCCCCCTCAGAGCGGCAGCTGCAGCGGGAGGCAGCTGAGGCTCTTGTGGGTCTGAAAGACTCTTCCCAGGCTCCCCGCCTGACCTCTTCTGTTCCTCCCAATCCTCCTTGGATCTCCCTGCTCCACCCCTGTGGCCCACCAGGTAACCTGTTCCCTGAAAGAAGATGGGATAGGAATGGTTGGAAAATGGAGGTACCAGGGTAAGTAGGGACTAACCAGGGTCAGCATGTTGAACATCTTCAGACTCAGGCCCCAGGCTTCTCAACCTAGCTCCTGGAATTGCAGTTGAGAGTTGTTTGGTGAACCAGTTTTACTAATTTTGTGCTTAAAAGC